ATACCTATAGGATGCGGTGCACTGATTTTTTCAAAATCTGTATCTTACTTGAGATTTTGCAGACTGACCTCCCGCATTCCTTCCGAAGATACGCTAACTGTCTGAATTGTTTGCGCACTCCGCTTAAGCCTTAAGCTTGTCTGTTTTGGGGGAATCACAGACTCTTTCCTTAAATTTCGCATACCAGTTCCTTTTGCTTATAACATCTTGCAGTTGTCTGCGGTACGCCGTCTGAAACTACTCTTCGGCTGCTTTTGGTGACATTGTCTACCAGAAGTTACACCCAACCTTTTAGTTAGAATACATTTTTTTTTTCTCAAATGGTGCTTTATTCATCTTTTGTCATATCTCTGGCCCTTGTAACAAGCAATCTAACAAAAAACTAACAATAATTATTTGTGCATATGAAAAATTCAATATATAATGGCATTGAATGACGTCGCAGCATCGCAGGGCGGAATTACTAACGCTGTAACACTTGTCTCACACAAAATGTCGACCAACAACACGTGGCTGGAGTCGGGACATCGCCTGAGTACCTACCTATTAGGCAAGAAAAAAAAGCACACATTGGGTTTATTAAGTTTAAATACGAATGCTAAAAGCTGAATATTTCATTTTCAATTCAAGATAGAAGATGTGTGCCTGTGTGTCATATTTTCTGCTTTATGCACTTGGTGGCATGTAAAATTGGTGGTTTAAAGGAAGGTAAGTTTAACAAAAAACTTTATTGGGAGTTAAAACAGTGGCAAAGCAAAATCACTGTTCTCGGCAAAGCTCACTAAGGTCACTTATTACAAGCATTCTGGCACATATTCAATCAGTCTTGAGAATGCCGTCTCATTGTGGAACGGTATTTGACCACTGATTTTAGTGGATTCTCGTCGAAAACGATAGCAGTTTTTTTTTTGTGATTTCTCCGCGTTACATTTGTGTGAACTTTTTATCTTCTCTTTAGTTGGAAGTACTGTTAAAAACCGTTTATTCTGGAACACTTCACCAACAGTCATACAATGTGCCATTTTTGGATGAATAATGTTTTTCTGAACACTTTTCCTAATGTTTAAATTCGATTTTTTCAATCATTTGAGTACTTAAAAATTAGAGACAGCCTGCAAAAAAATATTCTATTTTTGGATGTGCTATATTTAGATCTTCCTTTTGAGCTTCCTTCATTCTTAACTCGGCTGTATGTACGTCGGAACCAATGCTTCCAATAAAAAACAATTTCAAAATCTCTCTATTTTCCTGTTTTAAAAAGTACCTTCAGGTTGGCTGGTTAAAATGACCTTTTTTTTTCGGATGAGTTGTTGATTTGATTGATAATGTTGTTGTTTTTAAAACATACAAACAGGAACACCCGCTGTTTGCGCCATAACTCGGTAAAATTTCATTGCACTGCGTATCCTGAATTTGTTTCATGCGTTCACGTAACAAAAACTATTTATTGTACTTTGTATCTTTATTTATTATAGCTGCGGTACAAAATACTCAAAAAATTTTCAAGGCACTATCTTTTCTACTATATCCTTATTAACACGTATTATGATAAATTACTTTTTATTTGTCCGGATTATTTGAATTTTTAATCAATTTGAACACTGAAATTGGTCGTCCTAGAATAGAAGGGCGGTAGAGGGACTGGGACTGATGAATTCGAGTGTAGCCGCCCTCAAGTGTTTTTCTTTTTTTTATCATCGACCTGCTTTCATCTTTTGTATATGGTTTCGCAGCAACCTGCGAAAGAGTATTCCTAAAGAGAGGCAAAAGTTGATCGCTTTTCTATTTCTATCGGGAAGCCCTTACTGGACAAAAGTGGCTACTACTATCTGTCATCTATGCACTTATACAGAACAGAACTGAATGAGTAAAAAAAAGTTAGGTTAAAAAATGCGTACGAGCATCCATGCTTCAAACAGTAGGCTTGACGATTCTACCGCATTTTCCTTCGTGAACCTATCCCAGTATCTTCTTTTACAATTCATCAGTCACGATTTTTGGCAGTTTGCATGATTTTCTCGTTTACAAGATCAGGATTTGTTTTCAATTAATGTTTTTGTTTCAAATTAACAGTTTTTTTTATTCAGTTAATGGTGTTGGTAATTTATAATCATAGCAGGCAGGATAATGGACAAGTGTCCAGTAATCCTCACTATTTTAAGTTGTATTATTTAGTGAAAAATCGTAAGCATTTTTTGGGCTCTGGTGTTTGGGGAGTGTTCAAGCAATGAAAGTTTGCATAACACAAAGAGTACTGAAATATTTTAGGATTGCCAACTCACTCGTAATTAGAATCCACCGCTAAGTGCTCCGGCATTATCATTATGTATATACTTCGTTGGTCTCAAGCGTGTCTTTCTTCAACTAGAAGACGTCGATCAGCTACGTTAGTACTTTAAGCAACCACAGCTAAGGACTGCTTACAGTAGATATTGTAGGAAAAAGAGTTCTCATAAAACTGCGTTCATAAACAGTAACATAAATTATTCTTATATGAAGGGAGTAGCAGGAGAAATAATAGAAATAATATTTCATTCCACAAACATTATTCTTATCGGAAAATTATTGTCCCTTTCCAGATAAATTTGAACAACAATACATTATTAATGGTTTATTGGTTTGAAAACTAGAATTTTAGCTGTAATTTGGTAATATTAAATTAACAAAACTGTATGGCTCTAAAACAGGTGTATTTAGCCGGTTTTTCCCGTTTGCTTCATGAATACTTTTTTTTTTCGAGTTTTCCTAAATTAGAAAATTTTACTGAATCTAAATTAGTTGAGTTGTCTCTTAATTTCATTTTTATACAACCTATTTTTCATTGCATAACTACCTGTTGGGATCTCGGTTAAAAAACTTAGTTACTATCATCGACGTCGTCAACTAGCAATTTTTCAAACTCCGTATTAAATGGGGAACTAACACAAAAAAAAAAAATTTTAAAATTTCTATGTATACACAAAGAATCTGAATTTTGTGGACACAGAAGAGATGGTATACACAATATTTCGTAAAAGTGTGAAAACAACTTTGTATCAAATTTCCTATCAAACCGTCCAGGATGAAACTTCCAGTGAGTTCGTAAATATTAATTTCCTTGCTGAACTGCTAATTTCACTGGTGCTCCTATTTTGATACTCGAAAAATGACTGTTGGGGCCATACGCGAAATGACGAAGATAGACCAATATGTCTGTCCTCTGATCTGTCCGTAAAGTTAAGGTTTTGGACAACAGACGGAAGGTCAGGCTAAGAAGCGCCTTTCTGCAGTGGTGGAGTGGACATACTGGACCTGTCACATCATAACTTCCTCTGGAACTAGTCACTCTTGAATTCTTAACTTCTTTTAAAAGCCTTCTATGTATTTTTTTTACCAGGCAATCTGGCAGTTAAGATCATCAGTTTTAAGTTTTTTTAAGATCAATTTTGTCTACTTCCTTGGTACTCGAGAATCGTATCCAGCAATGTTCAAATCACAAATTGTTTTACTTCGTTGTCCCTTTGCATTTATTCTGTTCTTCTCAGTGTTTATTGATTATAGAAGCAATATAGGGCAGGGAACGGTTACCAACACTGTTTCCAATCACAATTAAATCAGCATCATATAGGCAAGAAAGTAGTTTTAATAATTGTTAAGTTACGCTGTACTAGTTTCGGTCTAACTAGATAAAGTGGTTGGTAAACCGAGTTGTCATACACATTCGTTCATTTTATTTTTGAGTCGTATTAAGAGTAATGTTCAGCGTCACCAAAAATTTCATCAAAAAACGCTCCACCTAGTTCTCTGAAACTTCGCTGGTCGGAGAAGCAACGTCAAAAAAAAAAAAATGTGGTCTTCAAAGTTGCAAAACTGCTTAAAGATGCGAAATTCTTCGCGGGCAACAAAGTATAAAAGTTATCTATTGGTGCTGTAAACACCAAGGACTATTTTGCTTACAACAGAAGGTTGTGAGGATGGAAAATCTTAAGGTATTTTAAGAATGGTACTACGCTCTCCTTCTAGCTGCAAGATGGGCGTCCATTAGCCATGACAGTAAACATCAAGGTAAACGAATCGTTAAAAACGATATCAGTCATCAGATGTGTGGGTTCCAAAATCAGATATACATACCCACACTAACACCAGAAGCCTCAAACAGCAAAAACTTTTTGGGTAGTATTTCGAAAAAAAATGTTGATCAAAATTGCTCTAAGAGAGCTGCAAGAGTTGAATTTTGAGTCTTGAAATGATTGCACGAGTGCTGTTCACTGGATCAGTCGTCGGTTACGCTGGAGACTGCCATGGCAAATTTGTGTGCTGAGTGACTTTGAGGCTTCTCATGGTCAATTTTTGCGGTTGCTTTTGAGTGGAAGTTGAAGAGGCAATGAGGAGTGAATTCGAAGGTCGTTTCCATTTGGCAATTAACCGATCCGTTATAAACCTACTTTATGCCGTAAAAATTTACTTTTAAGATGACAATAAAGGAATGGAGCTTTGAATGATCTTCAGCAGTTGTAACAAACTTCCAATTTTTGGCAAGTTAGAAACTTTAATTATGATTTTTTTTCTATTTTTGTACAAATTTACGGAGGTGCAATGGTTGTTTTATAAGCTGTCTGCGTAAATAGTGTTATATTGCTATATTATTGAATTTTGGTCCATATCGTTTGGTAAATAATATTTGTTGATGAATTCAGTCAGTTATTGGAAATCGGGTCGCACGTATTTTGATTGCTTTTATTTTTCATCGACACTCCTGTGTTCCTTCTGTGAAGCATCATTGTAGATCACAGTTTAATTTTGTAGAAAGAACGGTGCTTAATCCTTTTTTTGTCTCTAGGCTTCGAAACAAAAATTCTTCCCATGTCAGAGATTTTAGTTAAGAAACCTTGGATCGAAGTGAATTCATTTTGTTTTTAGCTACAGAGTGCTTCACGATTTTAACTATATACATGTTATTGTTTGTAAACCTCTACGTTAGTATTCAATTTCAGTTACCTCTATGTTGAACATTCTTCAGAATGGTTTCGTACATTGATATACATTTATCTGAGGAAGATTTATACAAGCATACTGAAGAATTAGATTTAAATTGTGATCAGTGCCACCGAGGCTTTAAAAATATCAATGCTTTGCGAATGCATAAAGTAAAAACACATAATCAGGTTTCTACGGAGTCCGATTTCCGGTTGCGTTATCGACGCCAGAACCCGCAGAAAGGTCTTTTGAACTCTTTACATTTCCTTACGTTAGTTTTCTATATACTTTTATTTCTGGATCCTATAGTATTGAAATAATTTTTCTTTTACAGAAGTAAATAAAAGGTATTTTTGCCCAGTTGATGGGTGCTCACATGGCAAAGATTATTTTATGTCACTGAAACTTCTGAAGCAGCACTATATGAAAGTTCATGTGAAGAAAAATTTAAGGTTTGTAAGAATTCTTATGACGAGAAAAGATTTGGGCTAATTTGAATATTTTTAAACTTTATTTCATAACGGAAGGCTTAAACGTTTTTCAACTGTCTGCTATTATTATAGAATTTATCTGTGCTTATGAATTAAGAAGGTATTTTTAGCTGTAAGAAATGTGGCGTTGCGAAGTTTAGTTTGAAGAGGGATTTGAAGTACCACCAGAAACGCTGGTGTCCTCAAAGGGGTATAACCTGTTTTGTTTTATTTAAAATTCCTCTTTTGTATTCGTATGAATAAAAGTATTCTAGAATTCTCTGAAGTTCAGCAGGCAAAAAATTCGATAATTGAGAAGGGTACATCTAAGAAGAACCAGAGTACAAAGACACAGGAGACATCTAATGTTCATCAGCATCGGAAAAGGTATATACAGTGTCTGCTGTCTTCTCGAAAAAGTAACGGTATTAAGGAATCGAGTTCAGTGGATTAACATTTTGCAGAAAGTTCCAGAAAAATAAAAAGCTTACAGTCATCCTGATTTTGATGTTAACTTTCTCTAATAATGTTTTTTTAGTCTACTCTGTTTTTCAAATTTAAAGCCTGTAAGTTTTTCACATTCAGGCCCGAAAGCAGAGTAAATGTGAAGAAAATCCTTGTCATTACATTACCAGCTGGTTGTAGATCAGCACAGTTCGTCCCAATCTTTCCTCGCAAGTCTTTAAGAAGGTTTGAAGCCATGTTAATCCAGCTCTAACTTTTAGCGATTTAGAATGCAGTAGCATAATGATGTGTTTTTCAGTGTGTCGTGTCAAACTGCTCCTGAAGTCAGTCTTGGTACCGTCCCTGAAACTGATATTTACAAAGAAGTTCACTCTCGGACGTATTTCAGCAAAGATGTTGCAACAAATGTTGCCGCATATGATCTGTGTCCCCCACAGCAAGGTTTTTTGCCGCCAGTCGACTCATTGTCATTTCAGGTACTTGAACTTATTTTGAAGGCGTTCCTGTTAACTAAAATCCTTCAGATCAACAAATATTACTGACAAAATTGTTTTCAGTCTGAACAGACACCTAGACGAAATGAGTACTACCATCCAAATGCTTGTTCTTTCGCTACACAAACTCCTATGAATTCGACGCCGGACACACAGCTTCTGAACTGCAGTGTTTCTCAAAGTGATTGCGCTGTCCAGTCTAATTTGTCAGAAGTCCCTGAAACTAGGCATGTAGAGACTGATATGGACGATTTTGATTTTGAAGAGTTCTTGCGAAATATTGAGACACAAACGTCTGAATCTTTTGGAAATGATGCGCTTACTCAAACCGTTAACAGTTTTATGGACTGTGGAATAATGACGGATGGTCCATTCCAGTCATGGAATGACACAATGACAGAATGAGAACAACTGCTGTCAGTGATCGGAGGAATATTTGTTTCCAATCAACGGCGATTTAGTTATCATGTTTCGAGCTCTTCAACTCAGATACTTTCGTTAAGTTATACACTTCCTGAGACTGCTCAAAATTATCTGCAGGCCAAATTACCAAAGTATTCTTACACATTATGTAAAGAAAAAATTTGAAGTTTTTGACCGAAGCAACTTCATCTTGATATATTTGTCAAAATCTCAGAATTGGATGCTTTAAAAACGATTAATTGTTAGGGTGGATTAATTCATTTTAATACCCCATTTTAGAAGGTTGTAACCCTTTTAGATAGGTGTCGTCATAGGTGACGAGGCATCCAGAAGACACATCCTTTTGGCGCATAGCTACCGTAACAAGAATGGTGGTAAGCCCCTTCGGCCTTAAAAACAAAAAGTTGATTCAGAATAGAAAGGTGATGGTATTAAAGAAATTAATTTTAATTTTTTTTCAAAAGAAAGCCACTGGGTTGGTAGAAGTGGTCGATCGGACCAAACGCTGGTCATTTGTTTAGAATACCAGAAAGTCAAGAAATTCACACTTGCTAGCTTTTAAAATGACCGCCCATTTCTGGTTTTGAGATGCATGTGTTATTTAGAAGAGCACCAGGCCACTTATGAAGGACTAATTTGTACAACTTTGCAATACAAAAAGCATGTTATGGACAGAAAATTGCGACATAACAGAACAGAATCTTGAAGGGGTGGTGCTGGCAAGTAAGTTTTGTCAGTTCACTCACTGAGATTCTAAGATTTACCAGCTCCCGATGAGAAGAAAGAATGTGTGCTTTAGATAAGACAACACATCCAAAACATTCAAAAGTTTCAAAATTCTGAAAGTTGAGTATTTAAAATTTTTGGGCTTTAGGCGCTTCTAGTGGGAACATGGCTTCATGAAGCTGTTAGGAATCTAATCCGTCATGATTTTGAGTGGTTCTGAATTGGTTGGACTCAGCCTATGAATAAGTTTAATAACACTGACTTTTGATGTGACGTATGGGGTTTGTAATAGCTAAAGAAATTTCTGGTGAAAACTGTGCCCTTGTCGGTTGTCTTGTGAATTATGCAGGAATAAATAGTTTTTCATAAAATGTTCTTAAGCCCCTAACCTTTCCAAAATGCCGTATTCAACAACGCACTGAAATTTATTGTCTTATTACAAGCCGCTAGAGGTGTTAGCCAAATATCACCGGAATTGCCGCAGCACTAGAGAAAAAGGCCTAAATCTAACCTATATTTCAAAATGGGTGTCAAACGGACGCAGTTAAGAAAGCTACCTGGCCAGGAAGAGCACTAATTCTTTTGATGTCTGTAACACTAAGTGACTTCCGTTGATGAATTTAATGTTAATAAAAATTTAATTTCCAGTAACAGTTATGCCGGAGCTTAGAAAAGAAAAAACGGCGCAAATTCACTACATGCCAGGTTTTCAAGTTTGGAACTAGTGCAGTTCCTTTGCATTTTCTAGAAGACCCAGCATATTGGCCGTACTAAACATCTCAGTATTCGGGTTAGAGGTTGGTGGTGCAGTAATTCGGAAAAAAACGGCTTGAATTTTCTTGGTTTAAAAGCTGTAGACTACCAAGTAACGACGGCATCTGCTGTCCATGGGAGCTGTGGAATGCTTTCTGGTTATGTACGTCATGAAGGAGTAATGTTTATTAGTCAAAGCTTGCTTGCAACCGGCAGAAGGAAAAAGAAATAACTTGCTTACATAACTTTTCAGAGGGAACGATGTGTGCAAGTTCATTTAACTACTTTTCAGTCTGCTGCAACTCAGTACCTGTCAGTACCCGTAAAAAGTCCTTGCAACTTCAATCTAGATGGGGAGGAACAACGTGTATTACTTGATGTGGGAAATTAGATGTTCTTAATTCAGGTACCTTAGTTTGTTTTTTCTATTGTCACATTCCAGTTTCTTCTCTAAGTTGCTATGTGATCAACAGATACGACTCGTTCAAGGCTCCCAAAGTCTGACTGCGTTTCCCAATCTCGAAAATCACCAACCTCCACTAAAATAAAGGAGCTAAGTTGTAGTTCTCTTTGTTCTGAATAGTCCTCTCTCTCAAAACTCATTTGTGTCCTCAAGCATCTTTCGCGGAAGACCGTCCAGTGCATTTAGACAAACTGGCAAATGGGAAATGGATTACGGAGACTTCTTACTGTATCTTATCTCCTGAAGAACTTCCAAACTTCAAATGAATAAAGAGATTATCAAGTAACGTGGTCGGACTTCTAACGTTTTATAATAGCCGAAGGTTAGCTACAGAATCTGAACGAAAGCGCAAAGCTCATTCCAATGACAGTGTTGATGCTAAATCTAACTGCAAAACCCTTAGGCAGTCCCCCCGCACACATTAACGAGCCTACACTTTGATATTATGTAATAATTTTGACAAGTGCCGTCCAATGAACGTTTGTCAAGAGCCACATCCTAGAAGTTTTCCCTCCTACAGCTTCAATTAAAACAAAGCGGTCTAAGTTTCGCTATATGCACGATATCGCGGACCCTTGGTGCTGCAACCAACTTGTATGGTTTTCATTCCGCAAGCCACACTACTCTCCATTTGCCTGAATCTCGACGTTAATTTCCATTATCTTACCCTTATTTTCACCAGATCAACCCTCTAATTTCCACTGGCTGGTCTCTCACCAATGGCAGTTGACCAAATACTCGATGAGATGAAAGAAAAAACCTAGAAAGGAAATGCATACCTTACCCGTCCAAATTTCACAGACGAGCACTAGGCCGCAGCATTTTAAAATGAAAGGCCTCATTTCTGAACCTACAATATAACTTTGACAATCATCACAATTTATAAAATTAAGAATGAGGAAAAAAATAGTGAAATAATTTAAGTAGCAACATGAGCATTTCTTAAATCAAAAAATCAGATAACAGTAACTGGAGCAACGTCATTATTTAAATAAAAAAAATGATTGCTCTTTGGTGGCTTTTATGTAGAGTGAGTTTTTTTCAGTTGAATACACAAAAAGTCGAATAATTTTTGAATTAACTAAGTCGATGTTTATTGCAGATCACATCAGCCTTCCTGCGATATTGATGAGAATCTTTATTTGAATAATTTAATTTTTCGCAGACTAACGTGAACTTCAGAAACATAACAGTGGCACCAAATTTACAGATAAAAACAAATAAAAAACTCTGATTAATAAATATTATAACAGTCTCCAGCAACTACTCAAATAGAAAGAATGAGATACGCACCCGTGCTAAAACAAAAAGACAGCTCACGGCTGAAAGCAACAGTAATTTTTTAGAGGGATACATTGAAAATGCAACAGAAGAATAATTTTTGAAAAAATCAGTTCTGTCCAAAGGATGGCATTTTTCAACTACTGGTAAACCTTTGGTGCAGGGAGTAAAATATGTAAATATATGTTAGATATTGGAACCAGATTCACGGTTAGGAGCAAGAACATCAATAAACTCCTTCAAAGGCGCAAGATGTTCTGTTTCAATAAGATCGAACTCGTGAACGAATAACATAAAGTGCTTAAAACTAGTGTTCAGATGTTCAAGTTCTTTCAATTGCTCTGAAAATCAGGATGGAGTTAAAAGCCACGTTGGAAATACGTATTAAGAGTAACATGAGCAAGACCCACGAGTAATTTTTACCTATTAAGTCCAAATGTTGGTGATAGATATGAGCATAAACACGAAACAACCTCCTCATTATTGTTTTTGCAACATGCATAAAGTTTGGTGGAAATGGTACACCTGCAAATGATTCTGTTTCTGTTGGATAGAAGAGACGAATAAAAATTTTACTGAGCCTGATGAGAGTATATAAAATACAGCTGCATATCACAAACGTTTGACATAACTCAGAAAATCTATAAGTAATATTTTGAAAAAAATAATTTTAATACCCAAATATTTATCAGGTAACTAACCAACTTGTGAAGGGAATATATTTTCATCATCTAACTGTTCTCGTACTGCTGCAAACAGGTAATCAATATATACAGGAGCTGAGCAGGACACTGCCTTAGCTTCATCAGACCAAAAATATTCGTAAAGAGGTCCGGCGCACATTTTTGGGCAGGAGAGGGAAGTACAATGCTCAGTTATTGTGCCATAGAGCATACTGATTTGGTTAAAGAAGTCCAGTACTAAAAAAACACATAATTCAGAAATTGCGATATTTGCGTTAACAATGAAGTAACTAAGTAACGAAAATAATGAAGAGAAACCACAACCAAGTTTTACAGTTTAACTTTGAAAGCCAATTTTTTAACTGAATCTTCAAAGTTAACCAGTGCAACCATGAATACCATTCACGTCGATAACAGCTGTTTTACAAATGCCAAACAATTATTTTCTCGAAGAAAGAACAAAAAACTAACTTTTCGCAGT